AGGGAAATCACACCTACCTATTCGTCTAACGTACGTTAAAATATGATGTGTTTTGGTTTTGTTGCATCCTTGTACTGAGATATTAGTCTTTATAAGCTCAATATCTCTGCTTGTTTTACCAGTATCCTTTAAAGGAAGGGAAAGGTTAATGGTTTCACTATGAGAGACAATGAACCTGGGGTACAATACTTAATCCACTCTTCGAGCTCATATAACCAGTACACAACTACTGTGGGATCTCTTAGGAGGCTTACAGGTACCATTTTCTTTCATAAAAAAGCTGATCTTTTGCATTTTTGTCTCACGGATAGCAGTCAGCATAGGTGCATAGCATCAGCGCCTCGGGGCGTGGGGCTGTACGCCCCTTCTGCCGCGGGATGTGAAGCAGGTCCCGACAGCCTGGGAAACGGTGCCCACCAAGGAGGTGCGGATACAGAAGGCAACGTGGCCCCCTCTGCTTCGTGACTGGCAGCCGAGGAGACGTTTGCATCTGGTTTTACAGGCAGCCCCTTCCCCGACTGTTGAGCTGGGGAGGCGCGCGGTTGGGAATATCAGGGCCCTGGCCCACGGCCCCCGCTGCCGTGCTCCAGCCACAGAGGGAGCTTCTGAGCCCCCCACCATCCATTAGAGAGGAAAACAAATTATCTCAAAAAAAAAAAAAAACAAAGAACAAAAACCACCCGAACCACCCGTAGCCTGGAATATGTTCCATGTTTCATCCTCAGTCGCTGCTATAACTAGGTGCAGCTGGGAATGTATTTTAAGCATGACGGGCATTGTTAAATTTTGTTGTTCTTCTTAACAGTAGTAAATATTACGATGGGAATTTACTCTGTTACTGGCTGCAGTTTTGTACAGTGAACTTGTGAGCTGTGAGCTTTAGTTCCCTGACTCCTCGCGGGTCTAACTCAGAAGGGGAGTTGTTTTAGGGGTTCTTTGGCTGTTTCTGTGCAGTCAGGTCAGGTCACCAGGTGTCTCCAGTTCAATTCGCTTCCCAGGGAAGAGGACATGGCTATTGCTGGCAAAATCAAATCCTGCTATGTGTGCTAGGCCACAAAAATGCCTTTCGAAAATGACCCCTTTTATTTCCCCCTGCCTCCTTGCTTCTCCCAGCGAGAAACTGCCTACTGTGCTTTATACAAACCTCACTCAAAGTGAACAATAGTTTCTACTGACCTGTAGAAACTTCTAAATTTGTAATCCATTAGCAGTGTGTTCTCTTTGCCATACAATGCTTGCTGCACGTTGACTCAAAGTAAGAAAGCTTATTCTGTGAACAGGCCTTCTCTAGACGTGCGCAAGAAGCGTTACTTCCTAGGTTTTATTTTAGAATTGTGGACATAATATGTAATAGCTGCTTGCCTGTGAGTTAGGATTGCCATGAAGTACACTGCCTAATTCAAAATCTGCTTGTGCCTGTGTGTACTTTGAAGTTATGCTGGATGATGCACTTTTTCATTCTTCTAAATACTTGAACTGCTACATGTTTGAGGGTTTTTTTTGTGGTTTCTAATATGGACTAAATCCCTTTAAAAACAATTCTTAAAGTAAGGTGGTTTTAAGAAACATTGAGAATCAAAGTGTTATACCTAAGACTACCTTACTACTTTAGGTATTTTCTTTGTGATGTAGCCTACAGATTATTTTAATAATTCACTAGTTTCTGTGAGTGGCGTAGTGAGCAACTTGTGTTTTTTGTACAGGGTGCAGGTAGAAATGTAGAACCCTTCAGCTAAGATATTGAGTTATTTCCACTTGTACAAGCTGACATTTTCTGTGAAAAGTCCTAGAGTAGGAAGGAATATCTTTGAAAACTTTTGTCAACTCAGGAAATGAAATCAAGGAAATAATGCATATTTAGTTTGTAGCAGCAGTTAAATGGTTTAATTCTGAAACTTTGGCTCTTCCAAGCTTCGTAGCGTGGATTTGAATGTCAGCAGGCAATCCACTTGCTGTGTTAAGGATACGCTATTTTCCCTGCCGTTGAGAAGTTAATTAAAAGTCAGTCAAGCGGCATGTCTTTGAAAAATCAGTCCTCATACGCTTGCTAAAGCCTTGATAGTGGGTCGAATTAATTCGGCAGTGGGTGTAATGGAGAGGAAGCCAGTGGGGAGCAGAAGGGCTTAAAGGCGCTGCTAGAGTACGCTTCTCGCCCGAACTGGGGCTGGACCCTGGTCTTGTAAACCTGGCTGTTTCTGCGAGGTCCCCAAATAGCTGGGAAATCCCTGGGCAAAACTGGGCTTCACCCCTGCAGTCCCTTTAAGTGGCCACTGTTTTCTAGTTGCTGCATGTCCTTACCGGGAGGTGGTTCTGTTCATCTAAGAGCATCAGCGAATGCACCTTAACTTGGATTTGTTTTTGCAGGTAATACTTGTCATTTTAAAACCCTGATTACTGTATGCGTGACATATACAGGGGTAACTTACTGATTGTTTTCTCATGTGCACTGTGCCTTTTGTAGAAATCAAACAGGCCAGACCTTCCCCCCACCCCTCCCCCCCTCCCCCCCCCAGCATTTCTTCTGGTTTTGTTGGTGTTTGGTATTGATCCTAAAAAAGGTTCCAGCAGCCTTGTAGCTTTATCAAAAAGAAACAAACAAAACTGGTTTTCTTTGGCTGGTTGGTAACAGTTCCGTATATTGTTGGTGAACTTTTAATGAAGCAGCTTAGGTAAGACATCATTATGGAAAACGTAACTGGTCAATTAGGGGGTTAGAACTTAAATTTCTCTAGGGAATGTTTTTGCTGCACTATCTGAGTAATTTCTGAAGACAGAAGGGATAATAGCTAGGTTGATCTGATATAAAAGCTTTTCTGTACAAGAACAGTACGAACAAGTTACATGCTTTCATTTTAAGCATATTTTAAAAAGTTGTATTTTCTACTGCAAGCCTGGAGTTATTTTATTAATTTCCAGCATTGCTTATTGGAAACTTGGTTGATTTTTATGGCTGAGAAAATCACTATGTTTGAAAGGGAGTCTTATTTTTTTTCAATATCTCCAACTAAACATTGTGAGTGGTGAGTGCATAATTAATGGTTTATGCTGTTTTAACGTGTCATGATAAAGTACAGAACTTACTCAGAAAAGTAGGAAAACATGAGTAAGCTCTATACTCCTTCTGTGTCTGAACTACAGACTGACCCATTGCCCTGAAAAAATACTCCAGGGAAGTTGGTGAAAACTTTCTGAAGATTCTGGCCTGGGTATATGAGCTGTTTTTCTAGTGTGTGGGGGTGTGTTTTAAAAAAAAAGTTCCCCCCCCCCCTTTCTGTAAACTGGTGATAATCTGTGGACTTTTCAGCTGCTAGTGAAGGCAGGTTGCCTTTTCTTTGCTTCTGTTGTCTGTCTGATGTAAGCCGCAGTTTCATAGGTTGCCTTGATTTGCTTTGCATTTTCTTTATTTACGTCTCGTCTTGTAACCTGCTGAAAAGTAACTTAATCTAAAACATATACCTGCTAAAATGTGCCCTTCTGTTTGACAAAATTTCCTGGGTAACAGACCAAGCTATGTGAAATGAATATTACAAAGCCTGCTGTGACCTCCTTTTTGTCAGTGGTAGCTTTCAGTGCCACTGAAATATGTTCATATCTATTGCTGAGCACCTTGTACTCCTCCCTTTTGCTGGTTATCACTACGACAGCTCCTCTTTGAACCAGAGGGCAGAAGGAGTGTTTGCCTACACCTGCATCCTCAATTAATCAAGAGTTTTAAAAAAAAAAAAAAAGCAACAGCGTGGCATCTGCTGTATGTAACAGTCGTTCTGGAATAATCAAAGGGAGACTTTCAATTATGGAACCTTATTTTGCATGTGATTTGTGACTAAATTAATAGAGGCGTGCCTATCGCTTAAGAGGAAAATTAGAAACAACATTGTGGATTACATAAGCTTTCGTCTTCAGGACTGTATTGTTCTCATATGTTATTGACACTTTTATCTAATGTTTAAGTAATTTGGCAGTCTGCAGTATGTATTAGTAATTACTTTTAGTTCAGTTAAGGCTGTTGGAAGTAATTGCAGTGAAGTCCATGCTGGTTTGAATGAAGAAAAGCTGATATGAACTCCAAGCTGGGAAGATTATACCACTAGACAGAGATATATGGGATTTGTAGCCATGCCGTACTCTTCCTTGGCTGAATATCCATATGTTTAGTTTTCTAGTTCAGTCCACACCTGAGAAATGATCTGCGTTTGTGGATACTGATCTACTACATAGCGCTGTGCCTGTAAGCAATGCTGCCTTTGACCATTTCCAGCTGGCTTATAGACCACCTTTTCCTAATGAAAAGGAGATGACCTTGCCCTTGTTAGATCTTTCCCTGCTGCTTCACAGCTTGAGTAGAGCAATGCAGCCAGCCTGCGAGTAAGGTCACCAGTTCCTATGAAGTTTCAGCTAGGAAGTAATATGCTCGTGTGACTTGTCTGCAGGATGGGTCGTGTGGGTTGGCAGGAGGAAGTCTTCGCTTTCTGCCCTGCCTTCTTAGTTTCCGTACCTTCACGTCCAGGATCCGAGTCCTTGAAGATGCTTGCTGACCTCAGCGTAGCACAAATGAAATACTGGATGCAACTCTTGAATAAGAACTGCTGACAGCAGGTTTAGGCACAACAGCAAGAATAAAGCTCGCTTGGGCAGCGTTTGGAGCGCTCTCCACGCGTGGTAGTGGCTCACAGTGACGTTACTGCTGGCGGCGCTCTGCTGGCCTCGTAACAGAGGTGCTACGGGGGGCTCGGTAGCATGGAACGAAAGCTCGGACAACACTGGGATTTGCGCTGCAATGTCTATTTGCCTTTAAAGACATCGCCTGCTAGTACGCTGCCTCATTTTAAAGCAATCCTATGAGTGGTCGCTTTAAGCGTGGGGTTGGCCGTTTTGAAAATTATGCTGAATAAATGGCATTGCTTGTTGTGGTTCAGTGGTTTGCGTATCGAGTTTGTGCAGTTTTCAATTAAGAGCTTTTTTCTTTTTCTAGCTCTCAGCCTTTCAGGCCTGGCTTGCCTTCTCAGAATCAAGCTGTGCCCTTGGCTCAAGGAATTTCTTTGCAGATTACAGTTCAGAAGGCCAAATCTTGGTCCGGTGCAATTATTCTCTGTGATGCCACCTTGACCTGAGTTACCCAGGTTATTCCACAGGTGGCCTTGCAACCGGGTATTCAGCAGCTCTGCTCATCAGTGAACAGTCTGCTACTCATACTTAAGCCATCATATTTCCTTTAGACTAGCAACAGTAAAGAGTAAAACTAATCTATGAGTTTTTTGCCAGTAAAGAGTAAGCCAAAACAAATCTATGCAGTTTTGCGAATAACAGCAGATATTCCTGAATATACGCAATGAGTGAATTTGCTCTAAAAAGAGGTGTTAGTTGTGGATGGTTCTCAGATCAGACATGTGCTTCAGTTCATTGCTATTTCAGAAAGAGACAACTGGAAGCTTTAATATGGTAACGGGCGTGAATAATGAAAACCAAACCGAACCAGACTGGGGTGAAGGGTTGTGTGGGAGACGCTAAACACTTCTTGATTGTTATGCTCTTTAGTTTAAGGATGACCTCTGTGCAAAGTTAACCTTGTTTGTGGGGGGGAAAGGGTGGAGCAGAGAGACAGTTTCAGCGTTGTGATTGTGTATGCAGGCTTTTCTCAAAACCTTAAAATGTGCCCCAAGTTAGTTAGTTCAGGGAGCAGTGACTACAAATATCCTGTTTAGAGCCTAAAAGAATGCTGATTATTTAGTGCTAGCTAGTCACAAGCTTAACAGAAAGTTCAAACGTGCTGTTTCATTATTGACCATTACAATTCAGAATATATTTTACTTGCCTTTTGTTGTTGATTTGCAGCTGCTGTTGGCTTTCTGACCGTTTCCAGTGTCATTACCATGTCAGCCCCTTTCTTTCTGGGGAAAGTTATTGATGTTATTTATACAAATCCCAGTGGAGACTTCACTGACAGCCTGACCAGCCTGTGTGCCTTGCTGAGTGGAATCTTTTTATGCGGTGCTGCTGCTAATGCTACACGCGTCTACCTCATGCAGACTGCAGGTAAAAACAGAAAACAAAAAGCGGCACCGAGAGTTGCCTTTTTTTTTCTTTTTTTTCCTCAGAGTCAGCTTATCTAACAATCTGAAATAAATTCTTGGCACTGGCTGAGAAATCCTCCTGCAATTTATAGGTGTTCTTCTTTCCTTACCAGATCAAAGGTAAATTAATAGTGCAAAGATAAGCATGCTAGAATAGTTATTCAGGTTTGTTTACTCTTATGTGATATCTTAAAAGTTCACTCCCTTTTGGTGTATTAAAACTTCATGATGTGCCTTGTTCAGTGTCTTAAAAGTTCATTCCCTTTTGGTGTATTCAGACTTTGTAATGTGCCTTGTTCAGTGCTGTGAAATTGTATGCTTTTTACATTCCCAAAACAGACACTGACAATATATCTGTGTAAAGTTTTATATGCCATGCTTTACTGACTCCTGTTCCCGACAGGACAAAGAATTGTGAAACGCTTGAGAGCAGCTATGTTCTCCTCTATTCTGAAGCAAGAAACCGCTTTCTTTGACAAGACCAGAACAGGAGAGCTGATAAACCGCTTATCTTCAGATACAGCACTCTTGGGCCGTTCGGTAACTGAAAACCTTTCCGACGGCCTCAGAGCAGGAGCACAGGCATCTGTGGGGATTGGGATGATGGTACGGTGGTCTTTTCCTTGCTTGTCACTTCTCGTAGCATTCATGTTCATTTGAATTCTGCTAGGTAATCTGCTAGGTAAATATACGTCAATGAATTGCTGAGGTTTTTTTGGATACAAGTATGTTCCACTGGACATTAACATCCACGATAACTTTTATGTACTGCATTGTAATAGATGGTATTTCTATAGCCACTTGATGTTTACTCACAAGCCATAGCATGAGTAACGAAGGATTAAAATCAACTACTGTTGCTTCCCTTATTTATCAAGCAAAGTACAGTAGGCAAATCGCTTAACTCTATTTTTATTGAAGACATTAAAATCAGTGATAACTTTTCCGTGGTTGTATGTGGCATAGGGTGTAAAGGCCTGATGTTGAAGTCACTGAAGTTTGTGGGTTCTGTGCAGAGCCTAGGTGAGCCAAGGCATTACTGAATATCTAATTACCGCTGAGGATTTTTACAACAAATCGTAGTCTTTCTGCCATAGTCTGTCAATAAAGGATACGTTTAGGTGAGAAGCATGTTAACGAAGGCTTCATCACAGCGCTTCAGTTAAACCAACTGGCCAGCAGGGAACATTATGTGGCCTGAATTTCATTATGCTTATCTGAGAAGAGATATGTTGGTGACAATTGTCATTAATGAAAGTGTGCAAATTTCTGCTGTCTGCCCAGGGAAAAAAAGTTAGCAAAAAGTCTCCTCATAAAAATAAGCTTCCAAGATTGATGTTAGTAAAATCTGGTAAGAAAGAAGAGATTATTTTGGACTAATTATAAACCTGTCATACAGCTGAGTCAACTTTGAATTTTTCCCGAGGTTTTTCTGTTTGGAAGACAGAAAGACAGCAAAATGAAGTGAAAACATATCAGATGTACTTTTAAAAAAAATCTTATGAAAAGAATCTGCTTTTGCATAGAAGCGTTGATGCTGTTTATTGCTACGTGTGGTAGGATTTTGCAGCAGTAAATTAAATACGTTATTCCAGGTTATGAGCATCCTTTGATGCTAAGGAGTATTGGCGACTCCCTCTGTTCCTCACTTACACAAAAGTGCTATATGATATTTCTCTACTCAAACTTACTTTATTACCATCTATTTAAAGCGTGTGAAAGCCTTTTAGAAACTATATAATAGCTTAAGTCTTTTCAGCATCCCCAAGAGATTTCCTGGTAGGCCAGTTAATAGACGGGTTAAGATGCTTGGCTACGTCCACACAGCAAACCAGTGAGAAAGCTAGAAATGAAATCCAGACCTTTTTACTTGCAATCCGTTGTTCTGACCACAGGATACATTCCCCAAATGCTGTGGAGGAGTGGGTATTTCACCTGGAGGAAACAAAACATGATAAATGAAAACATGGCAGCACTAAATTGCAATCTTGGTAACTTCAGAAAAGTCTGACAAGGGCAATTACACTTCAGTATTCCAGCAGATTATTCATAATCTGAACATTAACCCCTGACACATGCCTTTTTCTTCTAGTTTTTTGTGTCTCCTAACCTCGCTGCGTTTGTTCTGAGTGTTGTGCCACCCTTGGCTGTCCTGGCTGTGATTTACGGAAGATACTTGCGAAAACTTACTAAAACGACCCAAGATTCCCTTGCAGAAGCAACACAGGTAATCTTATAACAGATACTTTTTGGCTAACTTCAAAGTTGCCCTCATATATTTAGGTTAATATCTCTGACATTGCAGATCTTCTGAAGATAATTGTATTGTTCATTGCCGTGAGTCATGCTGGGCCTGTAGTTTTGTGCCTGAACAGTATGAAAGCTAACCTTCAGTAACACTTATCCAATAGATCTCAAAAACAACCATCTTTTGTAAAGAGCTGCCCATACAGCATAGTGTGGAGGAACCAGGGATGCCTTGAGAATTAGGAAATGCACTTTGTGGAGAGGATAAAGAGATTAGGCTCTTTAGCCGCAGGAGAGCGTAAAAGATCGACCTATGTAGTCCTATATAATTTGGTGCATGAATTTGAGAAACTTTTTCCTTGAATGGTTATTAACTTGAAGCCATCAAAAGGAGCCCAGCTGGAATTTTTCTTTTAGAAAACTTAGCTAGCAAGTTCTCTGGAATGTGTCCTTGATTTTTTCATCTACTTAACGTTTATGAGGCTAGACATTTTTTAAACTTTCCCGAGCATCTCAGCATATATCCACGTATTTGAGAGAAAAGCAGAGGGAAGTGTTGTTTCTGAAGAGGCAGTTGTAAAGCGGATTTCATTATGTTTGCTGGGTGCACTGGAATACTGCAAAACGCGAAGAGAAAAATAATAGCGATAGAATGACCTTCCCCTCTCGGGGTAGGGGGCAAACATCACAAGGATGCATAGAAATATAATTAGGAATGATCTACTTAAAATATCCACAGTAGTCAGCTCTTTTAAACTTGGGATGTCCCGTGTAAGACTTCTGCAAGTAGACTGTGCAGAAGAAAGATTAGCCCTCTTCTATTTATCTCCCTCATCCTGTGTCTGGAGGAAGCTCATGCCTCTGCAAACAAGCTGTGGGACTTCACACAAAGGAGCACTTCTTAGTGTTCCATTCCCATCCTCAGGCTGAGGAGGAGATGGGACAAGGACAATAATATTTTTACCTTGTGTTTTTACTCCCAAACAGGGTCTTGTTTTTTGTAAGATCATCACAGTGTCTATTGACGTCTAGTCTAATTGGTCACAGCTGAGGTCATTTTAGAACTAATATTGTACTGTTTAGAAGTGAAAATAAAATGCTGAGTTGAAACGGGACACTAGTAGTTGAGCTAAATTAATTCCCCGTGCTGCTTTCTTGAAATGACTGGAATTGTGCAGGACATAACTGTAGGCTTTCTTGCATGTGTTAGTGTAGAATAGGATATTTATTTTTCCCCTCCCCACATTGTTATTGCAAGTTATTGTGAATAATAGTTTTCTGATGTTGTTCATATCAAACTCAAGATTTTTAAATCCTGGTTTTGTATTTTTCTTTCTCTGCTAGCACTGAAGTCGAGACAGTCTTGAAGTTCTTGAAACTGCATGGGCATGCAGTTCACTTTTAACATAATAGAATTAAGAAAAAAAAAAAGAAGTGGGGGAGGGTAGGCGAAACTCTTCGGTGGAGATTAGCGTAGTTATTGGTTTAACTTTCAGATGTTCTGTAATATGAGCACTTCAAATTAATGTGTCTGTGCGTTTGTTTTGGTCTTTACTGTAATGTAGTTAGCTGAAGAGCGGATTGGAAACATAAGAACAGTTCGAGCTTTTGGGCAAGAAATGACTGAAATGCAGAAGTATACAAACAAAGTTGATTATGTACTGCAGTTGGCTAAAAAAGAGGCACTAGCTCGGGCAGGCTTCTTTGGAGCAGTAAGTATCTTTTGATGAAAAGAACCATGTTATGTCAAGTGTTGATTATTTTAAAATTACTGAGGGTACTTATACATCTGCAAATAAATTGATTGAGTGTAAACTGAGCCCACATAAAACTGTGGGGAGACTTGACTTAAATCAGTTTAAATTGCTGTGAAACTGCACCTCAAGATACAGTGGTATGATAAAGCTGAATACAGTTTAACCCCCTTTTTCTGCCCCGCATGTTGACTGATACTCGTGTTCATCTGAGCCCATAACCGCCTATTCAGGAAGCTAAAGCAGTGGAAAGCTTCCCCCACCCTTAGTGTTTTAGAGGTTTGGCTTCCTGGTGAGATGAGGAAGCTGGGGACTGCGCAGATGGGGTCAGAGAGAATGAGATTGCCTTTTTCCATAGCAGCTTGCTGTGGATTTGCTTAACAGTATTGTAAAACTGCTACCTAATACAGATTATTGGCTCTTCTCTGTGACTGACGGCTGAGAACAATGTTTGGCGTTCCTTTCTATCCTGGGAAATAGGGTAAAAAATAACTGAGTTGCTTTTTGAAGCGTACTGGATAGTATGTTGCAGTGCCACCGAGTATCTGGCTGGCTATCGACTTGGTTTTGGTTAGAATTGGTTTCGTTCAAATTTAACTCCTTTACTGTAGGAGGTGTCAGTCCTCTAAGTACCCATAATATAGGAATTCTTTTGTTGGAAGGGAAATTCTGAAACAAAGAACACTTTAGAGGGTGAAGTTTAAGAAGTGTGTGACAAAGTCTGACTTTTCCTCTTTTTCTCTTTCATTACCCAGACTGGGCTTTCTGGAAACTTAATTGTTCTCTCCGTCTTGTACAAAGGAGGATTACTGATGGGCAGTGCCTACATGACAGTTGGTGAACTCTCTTCTTTCTTAATGTATGCCTTCTGGGTTGGAATAAGCATTGGAGGTATGGAATGAGGAATTAGATTTTCTTCACTTCAAAGCATTACAGTCGGTATGGGGGCGGAGGGGAAGAAGCTCTTAAAAGATGTGGCTTTCTTGAAAAGTCTCTTCCAAAGTCTCTTCTTCTTCCCAAGAAGTTACGCATAATTTTTTCTGAAGAGTTAAAGTAATAATTTATAACTCAGTCTTAATATAAGCTTTACAATTTCCAAAAGGAATACTGAGCTTACTTTTTCATTATGTGACTTTTTTCATCACTTCTTCATTAAGTGACTGATACATATTGCTCTATTTTTTTTTTTTTGGTCTAAATTACAATGTTTGGTGTGTTATAAATAATAGAAAGAAATAATATCTATCTATAATTATCTGTATAAATAGTAGAAAGAAATAATACTAGTATTATATCTTTTAGAGAATACGTAGATCTGAAATAAATGTAATCTGTTTAGAAAGGCAAATAGAATTTAGCTGTAATTCTGTATCAAGTGTCTTAAGCTGGAACAATAAAGTGCCAGTAGAACGCTACGCTCTAGTGCTAACCTGTTATTTTTCCATACTGACTCTTTCTTGAAGCTCAGAGTCTGTAATCTATTGGCCCAGAAACAAACTGTTCATCTTTGTTAGAGAGCAGTCCTTGCTGCTGCATACAGACAAACATGAAGATAAGGTTTTTTGAAGCTTGACAGCTGGTTGGAAGGCTTCCTTTTTAAAATGAGTCTGTTGCTCCTGGTAGATTGGCAGGGCAGTGCCGCTTGTCTGTATTCTTTTGTTTTCTAAGACTAAGCCTGATGTTGTGGGGAAAAAAAGATGATGTGCCCAAGGGCAAAACTGGCAAAACCTGCTTCCTCAGATGTCAAAATCCCAGTGGCAGCCATTCTACCTACCAAAACCCCATCTTCTCTGCTTAAATCATTCAAGTTTGGTCAAGAGACACATATCTGGCACTTTGAAAACATGGGACAAACTAACATAAAATACATCGGAAGTAATGTTAGTAACACTGAAAAATTGTTGTTAACTTTTATTTGCAATAAAAATAGCTTTTAAGTTCTACTTAAGATTGTTGAAGAGTATAGCTCTGCACAGACCTCATTCTCACAGGGACACCAAAGTAAAGGTATCTTGCCACAAGGTGCCTGTCTCTCTTGGAGCCTACAAAGCATATAAATCTGCTGAGTGCTATGTCTGCTCAGTGTGTAAGTCATCATCAATACATATAGGAATAATTTGTCCCCTAATTTGAGACTTGACCACTTTTGGTTGTAACTTTTGAATGGCTATGAATCTGCATACGCTGGTGTCTCAGTTTCAGGAGGCTCGTGAAGCTCAGGCCTTTTCCCCCTTGCCCTGCCGTAGGCTGCAGAAGCTTTGCCTCTTCCTTCCAAGCAGAGGGCTTCTCAGTGCAACTAGTGCCGTGTCTTGCCAGCTTTCAGACAGTTCCCTGCAGCAGCGTGATGAAATGCCACATGTTCACTTACAGACTCCTGAGATTGCACTGGGGTCACTGCTCTGCGAGAGTAAACCAGTAACCCTATTTTAAGATCAGTACTTCCTGGAGAATGAAATACCTGGGGTTTCCTACCCTTCTGAAGTCACTCTTAACACTGTATGTGTTTTAAGGCAAAAGCAAAAATTGGATTTATATTGTTGGGATCCAGAGGTTCTGAAATCCGTTGCTATATTTTGAAAGAGATGCAGAAAAATGAAGAAATAACACATTTTATGTCTTACTCCACTTTGGCTCCAGGCTGGTTTCTGTGTTTATTCCCGCTATAGCAGACCCTCCAGTTAAGCCAGCTCCAAGATGACTCGCACAGCTAAGACCTGGGATCCGGTGTTATAGGCAGGCCTTGTCCTTAGTCTTTGCTGCATCTGGTAATGTTTGAAGGATACTGACTTGGGAGACGTGCTTCCCCACGTTGTCCTTTCTCCATGTAGCTTCTCAAGTGTCGCTTCAGCCTTAGGTTTTCAGCACCTTCCCCCCGCCCCAGGGTTGGTTCAGCCAGGATCTTCTGTGATAGTATAATCCTGTCTAACAGAGAAGGGCTTTTTGGAGTTCTCCTTTCTACTGTATGGTTTTGAAAGCATAGCTGATTATAGAAAACAGCTTTGTTTACAAAGTTGAATGCTGTTCTTTATGACAGATGAGGGGAAAAAAAGAGTTGCTTTGCTTTTGACTGTACACAAGCTTAAGTGCATAAACTTTTTCTAAGTTTTTCTTCAGAATTATTTGTTTTACAGACATAAATAAGAACAGTGAATAAAGCTTACTGGTAGCTCTCGAGTAAGATTAGATATGATGACTCATCAACTTGTCTGAATGGTATGTGGGAGTAAAAGATCCCCTACGCATCTAGTGCTTGATTGTTTGTGATGAAAACTGCAGCAACAAAGGTAATTACTCCTAATGTCTTCCATTCTATATCAATGCATAATACTGGATTTTTTTGTTTTTGTTTTTTTTTTTTAGGCCTAAGTTCATTTTATTCTGAACTAATGAAAGGATTAGGTGCTGGTGGACGTCTGTGGGAGCTTATTGAAAGGAAGCCCCAACTTCCATTTAATGGTGGGTCCTTGGTCTGTTATTGTTTATAGGTTGATTTTTCTCTGATTGGTCACCAGTACTTCAGAAAGAAGTTATAATAATTAAAGTTAGTAGCAGCTTTTGTAGTAGCAACTACAGTTTTGAAAGAAACTACATACAGTGGTATCTGTTTTGACTTGTTGTAACTGTGAAACAGATGATGGAAAATTTCCTTCAATCAGAGCTTTTTCAAGCATGACTGGGGAATGAAAGGAAGAGGGTTGTGGAGCTGGCGTGGGGAGCCCTGCTTCTTGAGAGGGCATAGGCTGTGCAGATACAGGAAATGTTGCTTTTGGAACGATTTGCAGTCTTCTCTCAACATTAGCACTACCCACGGTTTCCCCCTCCTCCTTTAGATGGGCAAGGAGCCACAGTGGTACATGCCTTATCTAATTCACCTCTGGGTAGGGGAGTTACGGGCTTTTTGCTGACTTGTCAGCCTGCCACACTAGGTAACCTCTTAGTTTGGCATGTGTAGCGTTGGCCCTAGGTTCGCGGACATAACATTTTTGGTATAGTTGTAGTGGTCTGAGGATACAAACAGGATAATTTTGCAGGGGAGGTAATGTCTTTTATTAGCCAAGTTTGACGTTGTTGCGGGGAGAAGCAATTTCTGTGACAAACCAATCATTCGCACTGAATTTTTTTCACAGACTGCTTTAGTGCCTAAGAGAGGCTTGTGTACCTGAAAGCATGTCTATTTTTATCAGGATGTTTATAGATGAACCTAAAATCAACAAAAAAGGTGCTCACCTTTGGGAAATGTTAGATTATATACAGAAATAGCTTGCTGATGTAGTTATCAATTCCCAGAAATAAGGTATGTAAACTCCATCTATATACCTATCTTTTTGACCTTAGAAATAAAGATTTATTGCTAGCAACACCTAAGTTACTGCTTTATTATTTGGAAGCCAGACAACACCCTCCAATGTGGAATATATTTTGTATCAACAACATTTGTCACTGTCCATTTCATTAAAGTAGTTCAATGAGCTGCTTATAGAAGGTACTTTCCTGTATGAATTGCTCTAGTATTTCATCAGTTGCATCCCACTAAGCCAAACTCACGTATGAAGTTTTTTGGGTGAGCCCTGGCTTTACAGAATGGGATTTTATCTTTCCATTGGTTGGTATGGAAGGATTTTTTTTGAGGTGTTCTGCTTCTGTCTCCTTGCACTAGAACTCCTTGGACTAGAAATGGGTCTTATTCTTGCTGATGCAAGTCTAGCTGTTGTCTCATTTCTGTTCCACAACTCCTCCACAACTGCAGGCCTCTATAGAATACTTTTAAGTGTGTACAGACTTCACATCAGCAGTGAAAAGCGGTATTGACTGTGATGTACAGAGACTGAGACTTAGAATAGTCCAAGAGGTAACCACCAGCTTGGCTAATGAAGGGGTAGCTACCCACTCTGCTGCCTTTAGCAGTGCAGCCAGCTTAACCTTCCTGCCATATGTGCCACACTGCGGTTTGCCATGCCATTGATAGACCTGGTGCAACTGCTAATTTTGCCATCATTTGGATGATGGGTGTTTTTTTTTTGGTCTGGATTATTTCAGTGGTCTTCAGAATCTGCATGGACTGGGCAGCAAGTAGTAGTACCAGGGCAGGAGTTGGCTTTCCCACTGAAAGCATTGTATTCCTTAACTACACCAATAGTGACATTCAGAAAACAATCTTTATTATGACTTGAATATAAATTGGACAAAATCTCAGATATCTACATTGTATAGGCTTAGAGAAAGTTTATTTTACATTTCCTTTCAGTATAAACTAAATTCATAGGATATAAACTTTTGTCTCAAGAAACAATTATAGTTGATTTCAGAACTCCTCAGACAGTGCAGCCAAGAAACTATTTCTGTACTGTCCAAATCCATGTGAAACATCTCCTCCCTTGGCTACTTATCTTTTATTTTCACTGAACTCCAGCGGTTTTATTTTTTTCCAGTGGCAATAAATATCTCAGGAACAATTTATAATATATTTTTCCTGTCTCTAGAATTCAAACAAGAAACCATCAAAATCCTGTATATAGCTTTTAGATATTTTACAGTAATATATAGAGGAAGGACTTGTGGTACTAGACTTCCTGTATTGCAGTAGATTTCAGTTTGTAGTAGGCCATGAAGTAGACTGTACAATAACTGGAACTGAGAAGAAAGATAAGCTATTACTCATTACTTTGATATAGTAACGATTATGCTGCTAGCATGTGATTTAGCAATACATTTCTTTTCCCAAAGGGCAGCTTTCAGACTGTGGTGCTTTCCTCACTAGCAAGTTACAATTTTTATGCCCATGGATTAAAGTCTGGGAAGGAGTCTGAAATTGCATGCTGTTACCTTTGCCATTTTTATGCTACTACTATTAAACTGTGAAAGCCCCGAGAAGAGGAAGAAATCTGGGAGAAAAGCAAAATAAACAATTTGCTCTAGGAGCAGCAGGACTTGGGAAATCTTGTTTGCTGCTGCTTGGTGTCTGTGTTTCCTATTCGTCTTCCTCTCCCGGTTACCTGTTTAACCAAGCAGGGGCATGTGCTACCATGTGCTGTGGCTAGTTCAGGGTTACTTGTGTGCTGCATCTGAAAAAAATTAAGGGGCTCGAGTTGCAGGTCTTTAGCACGAATTCCAGTCTAGGTCCTTCTCCTCTGCTGCTAGTTTTCATAAAACTGGGAAGAACTTTGTGTCACTGAGACTCTATCCTTCTTTATGCTCCGTCAAATTAGTTGAACTGACTGATAGTTGTAAAGATCAAGGGCTTTCTGGAAACCGTGCTAAAAGTCATTCTAAGAGCAAATCAGCTTTATCCAGCTCTTTTTTACTTAGCCACTAAGTTTTACTTTGTATGGATTTGTCTCGCTAGGATTTATCAGGGCCCGAAAAGTTGTTTCTGTTTATAAAGTGTTATCTGTTTATAAACTTTTTCTAGTACTGATGTTCTTTTAAGATATCTCTTTAAATGAATTGCTATTCTGCAGAAAGTAAATTTAACTTTTGCAATCATTCATTCATGATAGTTTGCTGTGGTATTTCACAAACTGAAACTTTAGTTTCGCTGAACTGTTGCCTAAGAATTCTGCCTCTGATTGGTCTTTGAACACTATTTTGTCCTGAACTTACTATAATGTATGTTTCACGTCCAAAAAAAAAAAAAAAAAACACAACTAAAGAAATGGCCACTAGCGCAGCAAACGTAGAAGCAGTTTTGTTGCAGTGACAGCCTTTGCTTAAAAGCTAAACAGTGAGTAGGCAGTGGAGACTGAACTGTCTGTGTCCAGAGGAGGGCATTTCAGGTGGCTTTTGAGACTCAGTAAAAGGCCAGTAAGTGATTTGCAATATTTATCTTTTTGTGTCTGTTCTGTGGCAAAGGGACTTTGGCCTTCAACACTGTCGTTTTATTTTATTGCTCCAGTTGATAAAACTTGAATTGTTTGTATGTTATGTTTAAAGATTTAGGTAGCTCTACTAGAAGTGAGCAGCATTAGTTCTTGGTATTGGCAAGATACAAATTCTCTTGCTGTAGTAGCCTGCAGCTTCGCTTACTGGTAAGGAACCTAAAGTCGTATTCAATAAGGGCTGATGTATCATGCTCTGATTCAGTCATGGCTGAAGTATAACCCTTGTGGTTCTATCTTGTGGCTTGCAGCTATCTCTAGATTTAATGAGGAGATAGATGTTTCTACTTGGTGTCTGTAAAGCAAGTTCTAGCAGGGTTGAGCTGATTTTTGCTTCTGTTCACATGTTTCTGTATTTTATTTTTGTTATATAGAGGGAATCATATTGGGCAAAGACACATTCAGAGGTGCTTTGGAATTCAAGGATGTTGAGTTTGCATATCCAACACGTCCAGAAACAGCCATTTTCAAAGATTTTAGCCTCTCCATTCCAGCTGGCTCTGTCATGGCTCTGGTCGGCCCAAGCGGTACAGGGAAATCAACTATTGTCTCCCTCCTGCTGCGGCTATATGATCCTATCTCAGGTATGTTTGTGTGTTGCCTCATTTGTGACTACGAATAGTTGATGCTGTGCACCTCGGACACACTTCCCAGACAGTTGGGGTCCCTGTGATGAGGTCTTGATGTGACTATCCCAGTGACAGTGTGCTTCCCTTTGGGATGTACAAGTACTTTTGCTGGTGACTGCACACGTTTGCATTTCTGTTTTGTCCTGGCAAGACACCACAGTGACTCTGAAAACAGCGGTAAACGTTCTTGCTAACCTGGGGAAGAAAAACAGCCACTGTGTGAGAGTCCTATCATCTTCAAGCACACTGTAGGTATGAGGTGACCCTGCCCCTCTCTCCAGTCAATCTGTAAAGGGTCCTGCTGGTGAACATGCCACCATGCATCAGCTCTTAGCTCTTGCTTATGGGAGGCTTTATGTAGTACACTCTGTCCTCAGTCAGCCTGCGGTCCTACTTCTCATGCCTTACGGGAGAGACTGTCTTGACTCCAGTGTTACAACGCTTGTAAATAAGGACAGAAAAGAGAAGCGTCCTGTAAAAAATAAAACCTTTATATCACACTTAGAGATGGGTAATATAACAGACTGTGGTTCCCAGGGAGCTTTGTTGACAACTATTCGTTTTGCCTCTTTTCAGTATTTGCCAGAATATGCTTGACTTACTGTTTCTTAATTTAAGGTACTATCACTGTTGATGGCTTTGATATCCGCCAGCTAAATCCACTGTGGTTCAGGGCGAAAATTGGAACAGTGAGTCAGGTAAGGAAGAAGAAGCCTTCTAAATGAATGAAGTAATTTTGTACGATCACCTTGCTGTGTCTTGCTACTTATTTTTCCCTTTTCTTTTTTTTCTTTAACTGTGTAATCTTGCTTCTCAGTGAAAACAGTCGCCTCCTTCCATCTCGCCATAATTAATCGCTGTCGTGCATGTTTTATTGTAAAAATAGGTATTCAGAGCTAGTCCCATTATTCTGTAGTCTGTTTTTATACAATGATAGGGATACAAAAGGTTCATTTAAAAGAAAAAAAATGTGTGCGTGGAGGCTGGGAAGTACATGTTTGCAAATGCATAAGGGTATGAGCATCTTGATGCTTGCTATGATTTGTTGAAGAAAGAAATCCAGAGCTTAATGTTTAATCACATGATTCCTGTTGTGTATTAATGGAAGTTACACAATCATATTCTGCACAAGCCTTTGAAAATTGACCTTCTGTGCTTTGTTTTGTGTCCTGGAATACACAATTATGTCAGGAAGGCATGAAAATATGGCACTGTGGGCACTTTCTTGTGTAGTGCACCCTTCACAGCAACCCCCAAACTCTAAAAGTGCAGAGGGACGTCCAATGACCTCTTAAAAATAAGCCGTTTGGTCAGTTAAAATGCGTATGTTCCTTCCCCCGTCCCCAAAGCCTTCACAATGCAATTGACTGTTAGATTGATGTTCTGATTAAAAGCAAAACGTTACTGGGTATGTGTTGCATTTCAAAACAGCTGCTTTATGTGACGACACCACCGAAATCTTCTGTGCAAAAATGATTTTCCTGTGAGCATATTAGCATTTATTCTGTTTGATATATGTATTTCACTTTGTCCAGGCTTGAGTTACCAGTAGTAGATTTCATACTATAGCATTTTTCTCCTTTATTTTGTAGACAGAGCACATTTAGCTTGTTTCAGATGTTTTCCCATTGTACATCACCTATTCTGTCTGCCAGTCCTCTACTCTGATTTAAACTTCCATAGGAATTAAATGCACAAAATAACAATCTCTGCACGTATTTAATGCTAAGAGAAGATTCGTTCTAGATACAAATGAAGATACTTAATGCAGTACAAAGGGAGATTTTCTGATGTTTGAATGAATAGATGTTTGTGAACTCTTGTATTAGGGAGAGAGGGTCATGTCATGTTTCTGTCAATTAAGAAAATATTTATTATTTTAGAATTAGATTTGACTGTTCATTTTAGTTTTAGAAGACTTATGTTCAGTTCAATTAACTTCAGCATACATGCACTTTTATATGAATATAAAATAAGTTAATGCTGGATCTTGCGAAGGGGCTTTATGTTACTTGAGATATAGACAATGCATGCATGTAATTATAGATACACCATATTAGCTATGCTTTTGAATTTATCAGGAACCAATTCTGTTCTCCTGTTCTATTGCTGAAAATATTGCCTATGGTGCAGAGGATCCTTCTACTGTGACTGCAGAAGAGATTCAGAAAGTTGCGGAAATAGCTAATGCTGCTAGTTTTATCAAAGATTTTCCAAAGGGATTTGACACTGTAGTTGGAGAAAAAGGCATTCTACTTTCAGGTACATCCTTATCTTGTTTATTCTAGAAAATCCTGATGCTATAGAGCAAAGTAAAAATTACTTCTATTTTGTGAGCGATCAGTTTTTCACCAAATCCTAATCTACCATAAGTTTTAACAAATGCCTCCATCTCCATTCCCCTTCGAAAATACTTGAGTCTGATTTTTGGTCAGCCCAGGCTTTCAGTTAAAGTCGGTTCACGTATGTTCTCCTATTTCAATTTATTGAATTTTTTTCCCCAGGTGGACAAAAGCAACGAATTGCAATTGCTCGAGCTCTACTCAAGGTAAGCTAGTACCAAATAGCTCTTCTGGTGGGAGGTGGAAGGGGTTAAAAAAAGGGGCCTTTCAGTGGGAGAGAGAGCTGAAGGAGTCTTTACAAATATATCTCTCTGATATTAGCAAGGGAGCTTGAAAGAGGATGAGCAATCTAAGTAAAGGAAATATCCTGACATAGCACTACTTCCTATCTTTGGATCGTGTTTTTGTAATGGGAGTTCTTGCTGAGGGTGATAGTGAACTGTTACGTAATGGCTCACTTACATAAGACCCGGTCAAGGATCCAGGAAGACTGTTGCTGAGAATATGGTGCTGGTAAACTCATGGATATGACTTTTTGCCATCTCTGTGTTCAGGTCTGTGTCATTCATGCATGGATTTTCTGGGTTGCAGCTTATCAGCATTACAGATGCACTGACTTGACTTTGAGAGGAGCTGGTTTGGATCTGGGAAGGCATATTAGTTCAGGCACAGTGCACTGTCGTTTTGTCTTCAGGGGTTGGCATGGGTCTAGCACCAGGACAGGCTCTGGGCTGGGCAAATTTAAGGAGGCTTCAAAGGATCAGATGGATGAGGAGTTTGGTTCAGAGGCAGCCACATGGCCTCACAAGGGGGCAATTTCAGGCTGACGCTCTGATGGAATTTGTGAGCCTTGCTGAACCCAAACTGGTTTTGTGTTAAGGTTTCCATAGCACCCTCACACGCCGAGTTATGCTAGATGATCTGGTATTTTTCATTACGTGAGATATACCAAACCTCTTCTACCATGGCTAGTGAAAAGCTGATTGCATTTCAGGTCAGTTATAATTCATGAGAGTAGAAACTGTATTTGGAAAAAATTGTTCTAGAAAATGAGTGCTTGATAAACGTCTTGGGGGGGGGGGCAGCAGAGTTCCTTGATCGAGGTAAGAGTAAGAATTTTAGACTTTGTCTGGAAGAGAAGGAAGCTTGGATTATGTATTGTAATTCAGAAGAGGCTTTTTAGGGATTTTAGTGCTGGTGATTTGTTTTCTAATGGGAAGAGCCTCCATTCTAATATCTGGTTCTTAAATGCTATGCATTTCATCTATGGGTGAAATACTGCTTGTTGACAATAATATATATATATATATATATATATATATTGTTACTAGGCAACTATATTTGGTAGACTGTAAGCAGAGGAGAACTGAACCTCTGGAAAGACCCATATAATCACAGTAAATATTAAATTGTCTTTTTGAAGATTACAGTGCTGCCACATATACATCAAAAATCATCTTTCACCCCAGTACCTTTAGTTTAAGGTTTAAATGGTTCTCAAGTAATAGTGTTTTGCTACTTAAGTTTGCAAAATTTGAAGACAAGAGTGTTGTTTCTGTTTTGTCCTCTTAGCATTTAGACTTCTTAAGAGTAATACTTTGAGTGACACTCAGTTCTTGTGATGAAATACTTAGACTTGCTTGGAGTTTTATGCTGTGTGAATCCTGTGGTCTATTGGTATAAATATTCAGATCTTGTCTAATTGTAATTATAACCAATTTTACTTTCTTCTTCAGAATCCTAAAATTCTTCTGTTAGATGAAGCAACAAGGTAAGAAAGAAAATAAACAGAAACTTAGAAATGATATAACTGTAAAGCAGATTTGGGAGGTGTTCTCTTTCTTCCTCTGCATGCCTTTGCATAAGGTATTTAGCCTCTATTTTCTCTCCCACAGGAAATATGCTTTCCACGATGTGTAAATTGGTTGGGAGACCTGTGATAAAAACTGTTTACGCAAAGTGGCAAGGATAGCTAGTACATTGTATTATAGTTTTTCATGGAGCTAAATTTGTAATATGTAACTTGATACTGAAACATCTCCTTTAAAGATGCAGAAAAAGCTTTGAATTAAGAAGCTCTTAGCATAAGACATGATTATACTGCAGTATAATTTAAATTTGTTTCAGTGAATTAATTTAGTGTTATTCCTTCGTGTATATGTTTGCATATGAGAATGTCATACTCACACACTCACGTGTGTACATTAAGCATGTTCACAAAACGTTCCTGCAGTTCCATGGGTTTGTCTTCACCAACAGCAGCAAACATTAGGAGTTAAAGTAAAATAAGCCTTTTGCCAACAAGACTATGCTGTTTTAAAATAAAAATTATCCTCTTTCTCCTCCCCCTCCCTTCTTGTTAGTGCTTTGGATGCTGAAAATGAGTATCTAGTGCAAGAAGCTCTAGACCGGCTAATGGAAGGGAGGACAGTCTTAATTATCGCTCATCGTCTGTCTACTATTCAGAACGCTGATCTCGTAGCGGTTCTTGGCCAGGGCAAAATTATTGAATGTGGAAAACATGAGGAACTGCTTGCAAATCCACACGGACTTTTCAGGAAATTAATGCAGAAACAAGCTTTTCTTCAGAATAGTGATACTTTTGCATTAGACGTACAATCCAGAGAAAAGGATGTATTAGAAGAAAATATATGAGAGAATGTATGAATTATGGAAGCTTATAACTACAAAGAATGTAACTTATGTTTCAGTTATGTAAAGTAAATGTTATATTTTTCCAAAATGTACAAAATATCCTTTTGGAACTTAAATGTGTTTAAACTTTTTATTGAAAGCTTTTTAATAAGTATTGTAACTTTTTAAAATGTCTGCCACATTGAGATCATTTCATTTCTGCTTTGTGTTTTCTTGAGACCATTTAGAATCATCTTTGCTATAATGCACTGTATGACAATGTGCTGCATTCTCAAGTATGTTCAGTATTTTAAGGGTAATTAAACAACAGAATCTGATCATTTTGATCTCGCTCTCTTCCCTTATCAAGGAACTCTTGCTTTCTGTGCTCACCACTAGTTTTAAAAAGCTGGAATTCAAAAAGGCATGACACTAATGTTCTCTGAAAGTTCTGCCTCTGACTTTGACAGCATCATCTTTGACAGCCTCATCTTTGACTATGACAGCCTCATCTTTGCATTTACCATTTTGCTCTGAAATGGAAAAGTTGCTTATGATCACCATCTGCAGTAACCATAAAGAATTACATATGAGAACTCATTTTAAAGAGTATGGAAGTATAAGTTGGACGAAAACTCTTAACAAACAAAAAAAAACCCCTCAGGCTTTACATATAAGAACAAAGGAAGTGTAATTTTTACTGAAAATTAGTTCAGCATAGGAGAATCTTAGATTTGTGTGCATTTTTCTTCCCTTATCTATTCTGCCAGTTGTTTTTTCACTCTCCTCCCAAGATGATCTCCAAAGGAATATGTTCTTGTCTATCTATGTTTTTTTCCTTTCTTGTAAGGCATCTGTCAGTGTGTTTTCACTGTTATTTAAAGGTGTATTCATAGAAGTCCCAGGTTTTTCCCAACTACCTTATCTCACCTTCTCAAGGACAACTGGTGAAATAATATCACATTAAATTGAATAACTGTAGGAGGGAATGGTTGGCAGTAAAGAGCAGGCTCCATGTTTGTAAATTAAAAAGTCTCTTCAACAGAATCTCTCTTTATCCTTTTTGAAGATTTAAAACTCCACAAGGTACTTGTTGCTGAAAAAAGTCTGTTGGCAATAGGTGGGCAGGGCAAACTTAAAATGCTTCTCTTACATGCTATTAAAGGCACCATGTGGAACATAGTGCAAACACAAAAATGATCCCTGTGCTATTGAATGAAAATAAAATTATGTGCAGATTCAAATTTATCTTGTGATCTATTTCATTAAAATCTTACCAGCAGCAGTGATTGTATTAAAGATATGTCAAAAATATGACTGACCAATACTTCATTTCAGTGTTGACTAATTATTCCTATTGACTGTTGTATATTTAGAGAGGCTTGAACCTTACTCAGAGGTAATCCCTTATGTGAAATGCAATGAGCCCCTTTATTTATGATTTTAAACACTGAGGTTACAAGAACTGTTTGCAGCTAAACTGATTGAATGTTATTTGTTCATTAGTTCTTCTGGCAGGTGCTGCAGTCAAGCCAACTCCAGTCCTCAGAAAGGTGAATGTCTATCATGACAGATATGTTGAATAGCAGACTTTATTCAGCTTAGAACCACTCAAAATAGTCTTTGCAACAAAGCACAGATCTCAACAAGGTGAGAAGACAAAGGCTCTTATAATCTGTAAGCTTTTCTGGGCAGCACCAGATCTGTGGCTTACATATGTACAACGTATGCGATATGGCCTTTGTGTGCACATGGTATGCTGTCTACCTCCACAGCAGTGCAAGTCAGCCTTCTGCATCGTTGCATGGGGAACTGTGGGAGCCCCATTAGTTGAGCTTCACGGGGAAATTTGATCCTTTTGCCAGAGTATTAAAGAGACAGTATCTCGAAGGAGAGAAATTACTGTATTCTGTTTTGTTACAAGAGTTTAATGGCCGCCTGTTCAAGGCTGAAGCTGTTGGTGCCTATCTGACAATCCTGATAGGCATACTTTGCTCAGGGCCGCTTTATTTCACGCTTCTGCCTTGTGCAGTGTGGTCCATAAGGGGAAAAGGAGCCACACAACGTATAAAAGTCTTAACTAATTGAGTTAATACCTGGGACTGGTATACCAAAAAGCACTATAAAACAAACTTTATTATACTCCCTAACTGTATTTTCCAGTGTTGACTTCTTCAGTTTTTAGTAACACTGCGTGTCATAGATGAAGACTTAGATGCAAAACATTTGTTACTTTGTGCTATACTTGTACTGTTAATAAGAGGTTTGACCTTCCAAAAATAGTTTCCTCTCCTGAAAGTTGAAATTTCGAACCCAACAGCTATGCTGTGTATACAGTGTTACTTAGTCTGAAGTTTTGTTAAAAAGCCTGAGAGAACATACTGTTATAAAATGTTACACAACAGGAAAACGCCCTTGATAGTAGTTCACCTGAAACAAGTAACGCGAAACTAAATTGCCCAAGCTTCAAATTCTCCATCAAAAGCCAGATCCTGAGAGGCAAGGCTCTTTGGAACAGAGTTCAGTGCTCTATCAGGATTTGGCAGAAAACAAAAGCTATGGAGAAAACTAGTTGGAGAGTTCTTTAACTTTAAACTGTTATTCCTCATCTGTTCTTAAAAAGAACTTCTCCAGTTATCTAAATGTCAACAGCTGCTTACTAGTCTAGTGCATGGATAGGAGATTATTTTGCCAGACACTTTAACTTCTGAACTCGCTTGAAAAGCTCTTCTAATGGGGCTGTAATTGCAACACTGAAATCTGCTGACACAGTTAGCACATAGTGAAATATCGCCAGCTGCGGTATGATTTGGCAGGATACTCTAAACACTCTTCACTCTGATGTACACAGTCCATTTTAGTACTAATATTTTAAAATGGGTATCCTAACAAGTACCAAGTAGATAAGACATTTGGTGAAAAATGGTAGAGTTTCTCTGTGATGTATAAAGAAGACTTGAAAAGGGCATAGGTCAGCTTTAAAAAAAATTCTTGAAACTGATGATGTAGTGGTCACTGCTTGAACTCAAAATCTTGTCTCTGCTTTGCTCTTTGCTGTTTTCTTTTGATGGAGCTACTGTAAGTAGGAACAGGCTCAGTTCCATGAAGGATAGTGTCAGCAGGCTCAAAACACAGCTGTGTTACTCCTACTGTATTCCAGAGGCCAAAAGGTGCAGAAAATGCTTTCAGTCACAAGTGAATGCAATTTACTAAGTCAGATTAAGTTTATCCCACATTTCCTGAAAGAAAGACCAGACCTTCTTCCCAAATGGTAGTTTAGTGTCCTTTTAGCCCTAGTGTGCAACACATAATATAAAACCATCTCTCTTTTGTACCATGTGCACTGCTGTTCTAACTTGGGCTAAACGCATCTTCTCTGTATAGATAAGTAGAAAAGATGATTTCCCGGTTGTTTAAAAATAAATGTAACTATTTTTACACATATATACATATGTGATTTTTTTTAAATGTCAGTTTCTATTGCTAGTGGCCTTATTTTAGGGGATACCTAACGTAGGCATTATTTCAAAGTCATGTATTTATTAATGGGGCCTATTTTCATCCTTGCCTGGGGGCCAGAACTGTTTCTTTTTTTTAATTTTGCTAGCCAGTAATGATTTTCAGGGCTCAAATACTGTATCTAAGTGCTTTCAAAACAACTTTACTAAGTGGAATATACTGCTTAGGGTTGAGTACTTGCAGTCTTAGTGACAGGCCAACTCTCAATATGCACTTTATCCCTTTGCTGTGTTCCTAATTTATTTGTTTTGTAACTCCTGGGAGCATAAATGTTTTCCTGAAGGAAGTAAGACACTGAAAATAAATTGTGCCTTAAGTTATTTTATTACTTAATTTACTTATTAAACTATTTATTATTTTAATACTTAAAGACAGTACTGATCAAAGCATTGTCACTCATCATTCACTAGAAACGTGAGCATCTCTGTGAAAGTGCTAATTTATTCAAGTCAGGTTTCAAACAGTTACTGCAACTTTTTGTTTTAATTTTTTGATATAGTCTCTGTCAGTATTTTAATCTTTGAAAAGGGAGTGGATTCCATTTAGGGGAGTAATAGAAGTGAATTTCTAGAAGTGCATATCCTCTCTAAAGTCTTAAGCAATTTTGTCTTCACAGACTTTCCACTGCTCAACAATTTCAGGGGTCTTGAATTGGGGCAATTGATGCAAATTGCTTAAGAGGTCTTAAACTGATGATGCAAAGAACCAACAGAGTATTGTGCTGACCTATTAAGGAACTCTATGTTGATGTGTAAGACATTATATTTCCTAGCTTTTGAAAAAAAAATGTTACTGATCTTTCATATGCATCTTTGTGTAAACCTCTGTATCGTCCCATAAGGCACATTAAGTTAAGTTTGTTTCATACAAACCATCAATTCATGGGAATGTTGTTCGCTCTGCAGATGGTGTGGTCTGGCTGCTGCTACCCTTTCAAACTAATTTCTTTCTAAATAGATAGGTGACTGTTTGGGGCTAGCGTAGCTATGGAACATTTTCTACACTGGTTTTCAATCCATTGATCAATCAAAAATAGAAGTACAAAAATATTAATATTCTTGTACACTTTGAAGACGTGGTCTAGTACAAGTCTCCTATTTCCATTCTTTTAGTTCAAATCCTGACTAGGTCACTATTGTCAAAATTGCCTCCGGGACATTCAGTTTTTCATGTGAAAAACAAGTACTATGCAAGTCCTTGTTCAAGGACTGGTTAAGTCTCTAGCCAGTCCTACTAGTACGGTACAATTAGCATTAGCTAGATTTCCTATTTAAAAGATTGAATTGTCCTCCTCTGTCCTGAAGATGGAGCTCTAAAACAGGTCTGGGACAGCAAAAGGAAACACAATTCACTGAGTAAATACCGAGTCAGAATTCAATCAGCAAAAAACTGCTTACGCTGTATTATCTTAAATATTTTTGAAATGAGATGTTTTGGGGAGCTATCACTTTTTAAAAGACTTTGACTCTGACTGTTGGTGGGGGTTGGGAGATCTCGATGGCAGCTTGAGTTTTACTCAGATTTTTCTCCACTTGCTTGTGTATGCATTTTCTGGTTTTATTTTTTTCTCCATGAAACACCAGTAACATGACAGTTCAGCATCACTGCATGCAGCAAAATAGAGAAGGCTATACAGAAAGATACAACGTGAATGTAACGTTATACTGAAGTTCCACTAAATGTTTGTATTTTGCCTTTCCAATAAAACCAAAACAACGGGACACCAGGTGAAATTAAAAGGCAAAGCACTGAAACATTCAGACAGAAGTTTCATTCTTCAGTACTGCCAGATGATGCATCTCAAATTTGTTTCTCTGCTCTTCGGTTTCAGTCATATTGGACCACTGTCTGTATTGCCATAAGCTGTTTTTTAATCAAAGAACGTGTTTTGGGAAAATTGTGGGGAGTTATGGACTGTTCTATTTTTGGTTAGTTTTATCTCAACTAATTACCTGCATTGACAATGACATAACTCAAATTCTTCCCCTACAGTCGATGATACATATGTACTTTCTGGAAACTGTGTTTTTCATACAAAAAATGAAGTTGAATGTTTAACTTCAGTGAGAAAATTTAACTCCCATTTAACAGAATAAATTCTGTAATAGTAAATATTTTCTGTAGTGCATGA